TTTGATTCCCAAAAGGCCACCTCCCTAGTTTCCCCAGCTCCTAGGATGCCACGCCCTACAGAAAGCCTATCCCTGATCCAGCTGGACCTGCAGCCCATCTCTCACACCTTGATGTTCACGGATCATGCAGAGACCCTGCTAAAGACAGGGCTGATTCAAGAGGTCTTAGAGCTTGAGGTTCTGCTTTCTGACAAACTCCCAGGTGACACCAGGAGCCTGGATATCAGCACAGGTAAGGCTGAGCAGTCAGAAGCTTTACTGGCTCACAGGTTCTTTCTGGGTGCCACCTGTCCTCCTGGAATCTGGTTGGGAAAGACCCGATGTCACTTGGCTTCTGGCTTGGGCAATGTCAACTTGTCCACAAGCTCACTGGCCCCTCTGCCCACACATAGACTAAAGAAGACAGAATTTTCACCTTACCCTGGTCACATTCCTCTACAATTATGTCTTTCCTCCTCCTGTATGAGTAATTTGTCCATCTGTCCTCCTGTGTCTGGAAGCTTTACACAAACTCCGTCGAGCCTTTCATCTACTCCCAAGCTTGGAGGGGACTCTCTTAGCCTCCCTTAGCCTTGAAAACTTTGCAGCAGTTTCTGAACCAGTAGGAGACCCGAAAGCATAATGATCGGTTCCAAGGAAAAGTTTGCAGGAGAAATCAATAAAATTTTAATGAAACGTCTACAAAACAAACTATTACATCAACCTCATTAATGGTTTCATTTGGTATTCACAAAAAATTTCATTATGCTTGAAAACGACATGCAGGTTAGATTTTCTCACTCTGTGAGAATTCCTGAGTACCTCTGATAATTGCCGAGGAATCAAAGCCAACCATACATCAAATGAATTACTTGTAGCCAAAGAATTTCAAAAGCAAAGTTATAAAAATAATTCCTATAATTTTTCACAGGGAAAAACTATATTTAATATGTTTGATGTGTGCGAGGTGGAGCCTTCAAGGCAAGTGTCTGAAAACAATCTTGATGTCTGGCCTAGGGGCGGGAAGCATATGCCGGATTCCTCCAGAATGAATGGGCAAAGAAATGGCAATCCAAAGTGCTGCTGAAAAGTGTCAAGGTGGGAGGAAGGGAAGAAAAACAGACAGAAGAAATATATAAAATGTGAGCCAAAGTTTTTAGGCAACGAAGTCAGTCCTGGAGATCAAGAAATCCAACTCTATCTCTGACAGAAGCAGGCGATATCGCCCCCTACTGGCTGGAGGAGTCTGGTACAGCTCTCAGAATGATGGCTTCATTTACTGCTCTGTGTCTGCTGCTTCTGCAGCACCAAGAACGTCACAGCCCCTAGGAATTGCCTCAGAGAGAGAAATCAGTGGTCCTGAGGATTAAGACCCTACCCCTCCTCCAGGCAGGGAGCCGGGAGGGAGCTCAGAACTGGCTGTGTGTCAGATATCCTGCTGCCTTGCCTGTCCCATCTTGAACATATTTTGAGCTTCCTCTTGAGCCCCGTCTTGACTAACAGAGTCCATATGTTTCTCCTTCTGATGGGAAAGAGGCTTTACTTTTATTTCAAAGGGCATCTTTGAAAAGTCTGAGGGACACGGCTTTGTTCTAAGACAAGCAATATTGGAAGTAATCAGAGATAAACAGAAAGATTTATGTATAAGATGTTCACTGCAGAATTATTTATAACAGTGAAGAATTGGAAACAGCCTGCACACTCAACAATAAGAGGCCGGGTAAGTACACCAGGATCTACCCACACAATAGAAGTTGATACGACCATTAATATCTATGTTTTCGAAGATTATTTTATGGAAATTGCCAACCTTCCAGAGCCCTTCCCAGGCAGGATTATCAGCACTTTGCAAGTATTAACTCACTTCGTGTCATCCAAATGCAAACCTTATGCAGGTGATGTTATTTGTATCGCCCCCTTTGACACATGAGGAAACTGAGGCACAGAAAAGCCAAGGTCTCGGGGCTGGATCATTGCATTGGACTATTATGCACTGCTGGAAGCTGCTGGGCCCTGCAGGAGGGTTGGATGAACTCCTTCTGGGTCCCTAGCAAAGCCTCAGTGAAAAGGCAGACTCCAAGGGCAGTCTGAAGGATGAGTAGGTCTTGGTCAGGTGACTGTCCAAGCAGTATTGATAAGATGAAGCCCAAGTGAAATCCCAGAGGAGGCCACCCCCCCGGGAGGCAGGCAGGCCAGTACATCAGGTGCATTATCATCGTTCACTGAAAATCAGCAAACGAACCACAAGAGCCTGGGGCCGAGGCCTTGCAGCCGGTGCCAAAGCAGAGGCAGAAGTAATTATAAAACTGCAAGCATCGCAGCCCCTGCCCAGCCACCATGCTGAGCACTTTCCCTGGGCGGGTGGCTCAGTAACCCCCAAGGGCCACAGTCTCCCCTCCTGCCTTCATTAGTCCCAGGTCATGGAGGAGAAAAGTGAGGCGTGGCCAGACAAGGAACTGGCCAGATAGCTTGACTAGGAAGCAACAGAGACCGGTGTTGCTGGGATGGTGCAGAGCTCAGAGGCCATGTGCTGGGTTACTTTGCCACAAGAGCTCTGCCAGAAGGTGACTGCCACATGCACGATCAGGCACACACTTACTCCAGTGGCCAATGCCGTTCTGTGTATCATCAGCCTCAGCTGGCTGCGTCTGCTATTTAGGGACACCGTTCTCTATGGAAATGATGGTGGGGCCTCCTGGGTTTAGAAGGAGCCCTAGGGAGCCCTGCTCTGGCCATGTCGAAGCTGGGAAAGGGAGAGACTCCTCCATGAATGGGGAAAGCAGTCAGAGGGCCCTGACACCCCTCTTCTGAGAACCACCCACAGGGGTGGGCCCAGTGCCTTGCTGCTCAGTAAAATCATGCCTTTCCCAATCATGGAGCCAGGGCTGCCAATTCCCCAAGCTCAGCTTGCCAGGCTCCCTGGGACACCAGAGTGGGACTGAGCTGGCCACGGCCACCAAAGAACATTTGTGGTAGGAGCAGGAGCAGGGCCGCTGTGTCCCACATGCACAGGGGGATCTGGCTGGGAAGTGGGGAGAAAAAGCGGAAGAGAAGTTGGGGGGAGCCCCCAGTCTGACTTTGCAGTTCCTGGTTCCAGTTCCTCCATGGGGAGGGAGCGAAGCTTTCAACCCTGGGGAACGCCCTTCCCTCAAGGGACTGTTTTTGCTTGAGTGACACAGCCTGTCCTTGCAGCCCAGTGCAGAGATGCTGAGTTCACATTGCACCGTCACTGTCACTGCTGGATGACAGACTTGACCTTTCATGCAGCGTCTAGGACCCTACGACCCATGCTCGTTGGTTCACTCTCCATCATCTAGCTTTTCTTTTTATTTACTCGAGTTGCTTTTTTTCCCTTTGCCTCCTTTCCCCCATTCTCTTTCTCATTTGAACATTTTCTTCCCATTAGAGACTGGGAAACGAGAAGCAAGTCATCATCTAGCTCATAATGGTCCCCTAATGCACAAGGACTAAAGGCCTGGGTTTCTCCTCCCAGCACTCAAGGCCTCGTCTTCTGCAGCCTCTGCACCCCCAGTTCAGACTTGCATCTGGCTGGAAGGAGCTGCCTTTGGTTTCCCCCTCCGCGCCTTTGCCCATCCCAGTGCTTCTCTCTTAGCCTCGCTAACCTCCCCTGCCCTGGCGGGAAGCCTTTCAGTGCCGCTCCCTGGCTCATAGGGAAACTCCAGACCTGCCAGGCTAAGCAAGTCTCCTCCGCTGCGTTACCGTCGCACCTCGGCACAGACCAAGATCCCCTCTCAGGCTCCCAGTGCCGCACTCAGTGCCAGCTGACCTCTCTCTATCCCCCCACTCCACCTCCTGGCTGCCCCTCCAACCAAGGGCATGATTTCCAAGGGAACACCCAGGTCCCGGGTCTCTAATCTATAGTTGATAAAACTGGGCTCCCAGCAACAACCAGCATGGGAAGTGCCAGGACCTGAGTTGGATGCCCGGACTGTCCACTTCCAACCCTGTATACCATGCCCCACCACTGTGCCTTCTGTGGAAGGCCTCCAACAGCCCTGAGCTCTATGAGTCACCACAGGCCCAGAACCGGAACTGGAGCTCCCCCTGTTCACTGATACCCTTGTGAGGGTCAGAAGGTTTTGTCCTCTGGCTTTGTGTACCTTTCCCATGAGATGAACTTGTTCCTGCTCTTTCTTGCAGCCCACATGCCCCCTTCTGTCTGGAGCACCCCCGAGACTGGGGGATGCCACCCATCACCTCCTTGCACTGTGCCCAGGGAACCCGTAAGCTTCTCTGGCTCTGTCCCTACCCAGTTGCACCTGTCTGGCGCTTAAAGTGAGTTTTAGAGAAAAGAAGGGTGGAGGGAAGAGAAAAGGGGAGATGAAAGTTGCAAAACACTTAATACAAGGATGCTCACAGGTCTCACAAAACAGGAAGACGACGCTGCCAACTTGCACAGTGATCCGGGGATGCAGGAATCCTGTGCTGCCCTCCCTCCCCAGCCTTCCTCTCCGTGAGCTCCCTGGCCTCCCCAGTCTCCGTGGCTCCTGGCCCTGTCTCTGCCTTTTGGATTTGGCTAGCTGGCATAGCTGGCATCGCTGGCCTGGCCTCCCTTTTGGCCTTACTTCTTTGCTAGGCCTGCTCAGCACTGCCCAGGCTGTTCCCCATTCACCCCATTTCCTTGAGCCTACTACCCACGCAGCCATATCTGGAATCAGTCCCACAGGGATCCTGCCCCTGAAGTCTGCTCCTTGCCAGGGAAATAAAGGCAGGGTCCCTAGGAGAACTTGCCTTCACCAGTGTCAACCCCAGGCCCAGGGCAGCAAGGCAAAGCAGGCTGAGGCCCTCTGTAGAAGGAAGCTCCCAGGGCAGCCTTAGAGGGTCCCCTCCCCCAGACAGAGTGTGGTCTTCCTCTGCTGATGAAATAGCATTCGCACCCGAGCGTCCCGCAGTCCCAGCTCAGCCCCCTTCCTGCAGCTTCTCTGCCCTCCCAGTGCCCTTGCCAGGCGCTTGCTACCCTCCTACACAGAGGCTCAGCCCCGTCAACTGTCTTTGCTTACCAGGGAGGAGCGGGAGCGCGGCTGGCAGGGGTGGGGACCAGGTGGCCGGGGCCTGGCTCGGAGGCCTGGCTTCCTCTCTGAATCGCCATATTTCCGGGAGCCAGTGACCCCATCTCCTGGGCTCCAGGTGCCACCCTTGGTGGGTGGGGACAGCGACACTACACCCCCATTTCCCCTTTTCTCCCAGACCCCACCATGACCAGAAACCACAATTCCCGTTTCAGGTAGAGCTCAGCACATGGACAGTGAAGGTTCCTCTTTTTCTTAAAAAAAGAAAAAGAAAAACAAAATAACAACAAAAATAGCAACTTTTATCCTCCACAAGGGTTTTTCCTTATGGCTGCACCACCCTGGGTACCGAGATTCTTTGCAGAAATGCTAGGAAATCTATACTCTCAGGTGCCTGTATTAAAGATGGGAAGTCAAGTGCAGAAGAATTTGGGTTCGGCCTGGGGTGCCCGGCTGGAGAACACTGGAGCCAGGCTGGAGACCGTGACGAGGAAACTCGAGAATTCCGTCCTCTTCTGCAGGATTCTAAGCAGCTCTGCCCTCCCCACCCCACAGGACGTGTGTGAAGTCAGAGCTCACAGTGGGAGCCCAAGAAATTTTCCTCCAAATTTACAATTAGACCCTTTTGAGGTCACAGTCTCTTACTACCGTCTAAATTTTTAAATTAAAAAGGAAAACACTAATGTGATTGAAAATATTCTTAACTGCTCAGAAATTAATAAACACACTTCTGGAGAACCCACTGATCAAAGGAAGTATAAAAACGAAAATTAAAAAGCATAGAGAACCAGATGAAAAAGGGAACCGTTTATTTCAAAACCTATGGGTCCCCGAGAAAAGCTTAACTCAGGGGGGAAAAGCGGGGCCTGAAATGCCTTCATTATTAGGGAAGAAAGACTAAAAATAAAAGTGCTGAACCCACATCATAAGAAAGGCAGGGAACAGGAAAATAAAAAAAGGAAAGAACAAAATGAGAATTAATCAATAGCTGAGATTCAATACAAAAAATACGAGCTAGGAAAGATGACTGCACGGTGGGATTCTTTGAAATCCGAAGTGGCAAGAGAGGCCTGACTGCCTCAGCCTCACGAGGGCAGGTCACTTGCTGGGCCCCTAGCGGTGCTGAGCCTGGGGCTCTTGTCTCCGCTCACCGACCACAGACAGGGCCTTGAAACTGCAGAAGCCGGAAACCACACTGGCAATTCCGCTGCCCAGGCAAGACTTTTCAGACTAAAACCTTTAGCATTTCCTTCCAGAAACAAAATGCCTCCCTCTGGCCTTCTTAAACAAACCCAGTCCCTTCTGTCTTTTTCAGCAATGAAAGCTGCTGTGGTTTTGTTTTCCCCTCATCGCCAGGAGCCAAGAGGAAGTCTGTGGTTAGACATCTTTGGGAGGAGTCCGACCCTAGGAGAGCAGGCCTAATGAGCTCCTCGGATTCGCATTCGCTGCTCCCAGCCCAGCCAGCAGGGCTAATGACCCTGAACTGGTGCAGAGGACAGAGAGGCCCCTGGGCCTCGTCCACCGCCTGTCCCCAGCCTGCCTCCACTTGCGGGCTGGCATAGGATCGGGTGCATTTGCTGTGTCACCGATGCCTGATTTGCTCCCGTGCAAACCCAGAACCTGGATTTTGAAGATTCCTGGGAATTCAGTGCTTATCCGAGAGCGGAGGCTGAGACAGGAACTAGGGCTGCCACCTACCTTGCCAATGCTGCCCCCTTCTTTTCCATCGAAACCCCAGATTTATTCGGGTCATAGTGCAGGCAACTGAGAGTGTTCCCTTCCCAGTCTCCATGTAGGTGAAGGCTGGGCATTTGCATACAGCGCAGGCCGACATCACAGCTACTGCTGGGTGTCTAAGAAAAGGTTCACATCCCTGACGCGAGCACCTGCTCTGCCGCCTTGCTTCCTACTTCATCCTGTTTGGAACTTGAGCAGAAAGCCTCAGGAAGCAGTGTCTTTCATGTTCACGGGGTAGCACGGGTGAGGGATGGGCAAGAAAGAGTGGACCAGACCCCAGCAGTGTTCTTAAATCACTTCCTCCTGTTCTTGTCATACTCTGGACTTCTTACATCAGAGAAAATATAGCTCCATCTAATCAAACCACTGCAATGGGCTACTGTGTTACTTGCAGCTGAAAGCATTCCTAAACGGAACCAGAACCCTGACTTTCTTGGGTGTACCAAACATCTCCTCCTCCTTCTCTTATCTCTTATGGGGCCCCCCTAGAACTATTTCATGTAAATTCACGACTTTATTCCCATTTTTAGATGGAGAAGCTGAGGCTTCATGGTGGGTTGGACAGAGTTCTCCCTGGAACCCCAAGACCTTCTTGCCCCCAAGATGGTCAGAGCTGTCCTTTCCATAAAAAGATTCCCACACCCCGTGTCACCTACACGGTGACATTCTCAGCTCTGAGAAGACATTGGGTGTTCTTTCATCTTAAAATCTGACGGTTTGAGTCAAAAGATCAGGGTTCAGGTCTTGGGTTTGCCTTACTCTCTGTGTGATCTGAGGGAAAAATCTCTAAAACTCACCCGTCCCATCACCACCAACACAACCACCACCAGGCATCCATAAAAGGAGAGTAGCAGTTTTTCTCCCTGGAGGCTACCACGAGTCTGACACCAGATGATCTATGATATATTATCATAAGCCTGTAGGGAATCGTCCCTGAGTGCTCCGGATGTCAATGACAGCACTTAGCACATGATAAAGCACAAGGTGCCCTGATTATGGGGCTGCTGGCACGATGATTTCAGTCTGCCTCCAGCCGACTCCTCCCTGAGCTCAGCCCTCTTGGTGGCTGACGTGTAAATTACCACATGCCTCTGTGACCACTCGTCACCATGCGTCAGCCTCACAGGAGCCTACCGTATTGATCTCGCGAGACCATACCTTTTGGAGAGGATCATTTCAGTGAGACCCTTCTTATTTGCAAGCCGCGCTATTTTGTTTCAGAAGCTCTTTATTGTCTTAGCAGCAGGAATTTATGTACTCATACAATTTCAAAACAAAAATCTATGTTATCCGAGACATTGTGCTGAGGACAGTCAGGATGGGAAGGGACTTGAAAATCAAGTCTAAGCTGGGGGTGGCAGCATACAGAAAAAATTAAAAAGCACAGAAGACTAGTTCAGTTCAAGTTTCTGGGTTCAAATTTCAAACAAAACAATAATGATGATAATAATCTATTCTAGATTGTTCCTCCCAAGCCACACCTCTCCATTCAGGGCTGGCACCCCCTCTTCCTGCTCCTGCCCCAACACCCATAGACATCAGGCCTCCCTAGGACCAGACTTTCTGCCTCCCAGGCAGTCCCTTGTGCCTCTGGCAGAGTGATAGGGGACAAGGGGGCCCATGAGACGTGCTGCCAACAGGAAGTGCCATCTGGCTGCATGATGATGGGAAGGACAGCGTTAGTCAGTTGCCCCAGTGGCTCCCCAGAGCTTTGTCCTTCATGCCGGGAAGGAGCTCAGATCAGCTGCCACTCAGCACATGTGGGCACACTGGGGGAGGCCAGGCCAGGCTGCAGCAACAGTGTGGGGACCCAGGAGCAATGAGAAAGAAAACTGATGTCTTGTGCCTCCTGGGTGCCAGGAGAGGTAGGAGGCCTGTCCTGCTTTTGCAGGCCAGAAAGAGCTCACTCAGACCTCAGAGTCACTACTGTGATGAGGAGGAAGAGGCATACCTTTCTTGTCTGCCTGTGCCCCTCACTATTGGTCAGAATGAGCCACATGGTCCTGATGGAGCAGCACAGGAGGCTGGGCGATCCAGGGGAGCAGGTGGACTGAATAGGGTGCACTCCCTCCCACAGTCCAACACTTCCCAAAAGATACCATCAGGCGAATGAGAGTCAGCTCTGCAAAGAGCCCAGCAAGGTCATGGAAGCACAAGATAATGAGATCAGATGGGCATAGTGCCTGTAATCCCAGAGACTCAGGAAGCTGAGACAGGCACATTTCCAGTTTGAGGATAGCCAAGGGCAGCTTAGATTCTGTCTCAAAATAAAAAGTAGTAATTGTTTTTTTAAAAAGTAAAGATAATGGGGACTTTATGGAGGAAAAAGGGCCTCTGCCTGTTGCTGTTTGCTGCAAGTAGCTGTCACATGGCAGTGTGTGCTGGGGTTTGTCACACGTGGGTACTGTGCATGCACAAGCAATTAGGCCAAGATCGGTCTGCAGGGCCTCCCCCATTGCTGTGTTTGCTACATGGCAAAAGCGTGGTCCTGTCTCTACCACCCTCTGGCTTGCTCAGCCCATTCCAGAGCAGAGCAGAAAGAAAACTGAAGAGTGAGGTAGAGGAGAAAGAAGCACCCAAGGGAGGTGGCGCACCGAGTTGGCAGGGTTGGGAGGCAGGGGGTTCTGCAGGGTGCAGGCTCTCAGAGAAGCGCTGAGTTTCAAGATCACATGATGGAGACATCAAGGGGACCTCACTGATTCTTATCTTTGACAGATGTTCAGCGAGGCTGGACGCGCTGTACTTCTTGTGGTCACCAGAGGAGCCCCGTGCAATGGCTGGGAGATGTCTTCAGAGCGTGGAGAGTGAGTTATTCGGACCCTGCAGGCACTCATTCTGGTTGCAACAGTAAAAGCCCAACACTATGTGTTCCCAAAACACATGAGGCCCCTGCATGACAGTCAGAAAGTGGCCACCACCGTTTAGCAGAGACAGACAAGCCTGCAGTGGGGCAAAGGTGAGCAGAGGAACATGCTGATGGCTGTGCCAGCTTCCCATGGGGACTCTGTCTCCTGGACTCCAGAGAGCATCTTCTCCTTGCTGGCTCTGGGGGTGTCTCCCCTCTGGGAGGGGACAGTGACATGGGCTTTGTTGACTGCCACAACCCCCGTTGACTCATCTGAAACTTCCTGTCAACTAAAACCCGGACACCTTTTCACTTGTGCTGTGGGCCTGGGTACCCCACATCCTGTCTGTGTCTAGGGTATTCTGAAGCCCAGCTGGAGCAGAGGTCTCTCTGCCACCTGTCTTATCTCATGTTCATGGTGGCCAGTGGCTGTGTATCCCAGGCTCACGTGAACCCTGCCTTTCCTGTGTATGTTGTCATCTGTCTCTCCCACTTGCCCACACACCTGTTGGGCACAGGCCAGCTAATGAGCCCCTGTGAATCCCTGGC